TCGAGGGCAAATTCTTTTTTTTTTTTTTTTATTCTGCATTCATCTACGTGAAACCCAGCAGATTTCTTCACAGAAGAGCATCTCCACACAAGCAGATGAGTGCTATGACCTACTGGAAATCTCAGAAGGATATTTGCACCTATTGTTTACCAGCCAGCATCTTGCACACTTAAAAGAAACTAATGACCTGTTGGCACGCTCCCAACTTAGAGACCATCCTTTTTCTGCTGAAATTGCTAAAAAAGCTCCCACTGGCTTCACCAGGAAAGCCATCACGGGCTTTGCTAGTAAGATTAAACACTTTGTGAGCATCCCTACTTAATTCGATTATTTTTTTACAGGTTCCCACTGTTACAACATCCTAGCAGGAAAGCTGAGGGAACTACTGAAGCTAAACTAAGGAATCCACCACCCACCCCAAAATAGAGAGTCACAAGAAGCAGTCAAGCGTGGGAAAACCATTTCCACCAGTTAAACTACACACTGTGTGAGGGCAAAGTGGAACTCATCTGCTCACCTTTCCCAGCAAAACGTATCCTCCACAGCTACAAGGGAATTCTTTTACCCCATTACTGCTTATTGACCAGGAAGAATGAAAAAGGAATCGATACAAGACAGAAAAAAACAACTGGGAGCAAACACATCTGGAAGAGGTGCCCTCAAAACCAAAACTTTTGCTCTTAAAGCAACAAGAATTGCTTAGTGTTTTGCTGTTTAACTGAAAGACAGAAGACAAAAACCAACGTTATTTTCAAACAATAAACTGCTCAGTGCAACTGCACATAATCCTTAGTGTTTCTAGGATTATAACAGTCCAAAAATAAAATCCAGATAAAAATCCCAAAGGTACCAAGCGCTTGATGGTGTTGAACAGTTTCTGAAGAATACCACGGAAAGGTGGTCCTCAAGCACTTTTGCATTGAAAATAATTCCTAACAGAACTAAGCCGTAAAGGTGGAGCTACATTTAAGCCATTATTTTTTCAGTGCTGTCAAGTGAACACCAGTTCACAGCAACTGTGCAATAATTAAGTTTATTACATGAGCCATTGGAACAGATGTTTTTTTCTTAGCAATTAGGCTAATCGCAAACATCTTAGTCTTTGGCCCAGCCAAGAGCATTTGTAGCTCATTGCAAAAAAGATTGTATATTAAAAAAAAAAACAAAAGCAGCTTAAAGACAGCGTTTGTACCAAAATCATGACAATTTGGCAAGCTAAACTGTCAAATCTGTCTTTTTTTGTACCTACCCCAACTTCAGGCCTGAAACATCATCAAAAATAGCAACTGTATTAGTAGTCTTTACATTTACACCATTATTAATTTTTACACTCTCTCAGGAGATAAACAAAGGGTTTATTCTGTCTTGCTTTTGGTTTTTGGGCTGAAAAAAACCCCAGGATGCACAACTTCAGTGTGATTGCCTTTTTATGAGGGCTGAAGAGGATTTCTTACACAACTGCACTAAGAGTTTCTGCCAGAAACCCCCAATATTGCACGATCATCCTGTTGGATTTGCGTGTTGGTTCCAACAGAGTTGTAATGCTTCACTTGTACACTTAAAAAAAAAATAATAAACAAATACAATACCAGAAGAAGTGGTAATGCTTCACTTGTACACTTAAAAAAAAAAAATAATCAAACAAATACAATACCAGAAAAAGTGGGTTTTTTAAAAAAAAATAATAATCAGACAAATAAAACCCAAACAAATAGAGTATACCAAAAGAAGTGTTTTTCAATTGCGCCTCGTTACAACTGAATAATTATAAACAGGCCAACGCAAGAACACTTTCACTTCGGCAGCACTGAACGGAGCGGATGCAAAGCCCGTTTTCTTATGGCACACTGGAAGAATCAAGTGAGTAATTTTCTAAAAATCAGTTTACCTCTATGCTGAACATGTGCTGCTCCACAGTGCTAGTCTTGTTTAAAAGGCATACACAGACTTTCCATTCACCCTCACAGCATAGATTTCATTCTTTTATTATTTTTTTCTTTTTTTTCTGTGCAACGTGTTAGCAATCTAAACAACTGCTCCACACAAACTGTCCACAAACCACTCACACACAACACTAATGCGACAGTAGATTACAACAGGACAGCAATACAAAATAATTGTCTCAGATCACGTATTTCTCCCCGTCTGGAATGAAATTCGACTCTTGTAAGGTAGAAGAGCCACAGTTCGATTTCTGCGTGTAGCCTCTCATCTGTGCTGGGGACAAAGTCTCCAGCGTGGACCCAGAAGCGTTAGCAGTCCTGACTTTATTGGCTGTGGATTGTTTAGCAGCAGCAGATGCTTTGTTACTGGCAACTACATCCAAGTTTCCAGTAGGGTCAACGATAGCGTTTATGACTGGGGAAGGGGGGAAGGGAAGGAAAAAAAAAGAAAAGAAAAAAAAAAAAAGAAATGAGACACACAGAGACACATCATCAGCACTCAGCAGTTTCTCAACAGAAGGTTGCTGCCTTCATTTTGAATGCAGTACTCATGGACATTTTCATCACGATATTTTTTTCATTAATACCTTCAGGCCTAAGCAGTTTTAATAAGCAAAACCTCTCCCAAACTGAAGGTATGAGGTTATGAAGCATTGGAACTGGCTGCCCAGAGAAGTGTTGAGGCACCATCCCTGGAGATATTTAAAAGATGGGTTGACATAGGGCTTAACGACATGGTTTAGTGAGGGCTTTTATCAGAGCTAGGTTGATAGTTGGACTAGATGATCTTAAAAGGTCCCTTTCAATCCAGACAATTCTATAATTCTATGATATTAACTTTCTGGTTGAACTGGGAAAGACAAACTACATAATCCAGACAATTCTATGATTCTATGATATTCAACGTTCTGGTTGAACCGGGAAAGACAAACTACAGCAGCCAAATAACAAGCTTTGAGCAGGAGCCCAAAATGACACCTGTATGTTTTTATATGTCTTTATTAAGGTTCTAGATGATACAAGAGCTCCTCTTGCCTCTTCTGCTGCACAGAGCTCTATGTGCAAAATTCAAGCCCCAAAAGCAGAGCACTGTTTATTGGCTGAAAGAACTGCTAAATATTATTTCAGCAGAACAGACCTTTGCCAGTTCATCTTATGGGAATACGCTAATTACCACAAACAAAGCATTTCCACAGCAACAGCTTCCACATTGCAAAAGTCAACAACTTCTCTCAAAAATTGGCAGCACAAGATAAATCTACTGTTCATTCCACACGCGCTCATCAGAGAGCACTGTGCTAACAAACTGAACTTCTGCATCCTCTTCCAGCTTCACTGGCAAATCAAGCCACGTTATTTTATTTTGTGCAACTTATTGACATTCGAGAGACAAAAAGAAGATTTTATGTGACCAACCTTCAAGCTGTTTTTGAACTCTCCTGAGCTCCTTCAGGATAGAACTGATTTCCTGGAAACAAAAGCATCAGAATGGAAAATTAAACAACAAAGACCACGATCAAGAAGATTCAAAGTCAGTTCCAACATCGCTTATTTAACAGAAAAAACAAAGGTAGTATCCACGGAAATGCTCAGAGATCAAAGTCAGTTCCAACATCGCTTATTTAACGGAAAAAACAAAGGTAGTGTCCACAGAAACACTCAGAGGTCTGGAGCCCCTCTGCTGTGAGGACAGGCTGAGAGAGTTGGGGTTGTTCAGCCTGGAGAAGAGAAGGCTCCGGGGAGACTTGACTTAAGTCTGTGGTGTGGAGAAGAGAAGGCTCCAGAGAGACTTTACTTAAGCCTATGGTGTTTCAATATTTAAAGGGGGCTTATAAGAAAGATGAGGACAAACTTTTTAGTACCAGGGCCTGTTTGCAATACGACAACATTATAAGAAAGATGGGGACAAACTTTTTAGTATCAGGGCCTGTTTGCGATACGACAACGGGCAAAGGCTTTAAACTAAAAGAGGGAAGATTTAGAGATCTCTTCTTAAGGAAGAAATTTTTTTACAATAAGGGTGGTGAGACACTGGCCCAGGTTGCCCAGGGGGTTGGTAGATGCCACATCCCTGGAAACATTCAAGGTCAGGTTTGGCAGGGCTCTGAGGAACCCTATCTAGTTGAGGATGTCCCTGCTTATTGTGGGGGGGTTGGACTAGATGACCTATAAAGGTCCCTTCCAACCAAAACCATTCTATGATTCTATGATCTGTATCTAGGTGCTTCTGGTCAGTGCACAGGGACCTCTCCTCTGCATCTTTTCACCCAGTGCTACTACACCCCCCAATTCATAGCTGCAGTAGACTTTAGATTTGAAACGCTAGCTAGACTAACTGCTCAAAAGCTCCTTCACATCCTCCTTAATACCAACTGCACATTTGCAAGCTCAACTCTTAGAACAAAGCAAGTGGCCACATACATACTGCTGGGTCCATTACTCTACTTAAATCCCTCCTGACAGTCTCCATAACTAAGAATAAAGAGGTGATGAGAGCACAAACACCACCCTAGGGCTGAAGGTTTTTTTATTGCCCTCTTATTCAACTGTTACAGGTGAAGAAAACAAACATTGACGAGAAACACCTGTCTCCAACTGAAGCTGTGGGAATCACACTATAGGTGATGCTTTGGTAGATGTTTAAAAGAGGTCTAATAACCCTGAACTTGAACATCTGTTACAGGACTGGGTCTTTGAAGATGAATCCCAAAGGGAAGAGGGAAGAGTTTGGTGAAACACAACATCTGGAGGAACTCACTTTGTCACACTTTAAACAGCAACAAAACCCAGCAGTTGAACAAACGTAAATGGACTAGAAATTTCAGAAATGGATTTGAGAAGGGCCAAAGCTTGTTATTTTGGTTTCTTACAAAGCTTTCATGGATGCAAGCCTTCAATATTTCACTTGGTCTTACCTTGTTTGATGTCTTCAGGATTGGCACTTCGTTTTCTGAATTAATTTTGGCCTCCATCTCCTCCCAGGTCCTTTCTGAGTTCTGAAACAGTATCCTGCAGCACAAAAAGTTGAGCAGGTCTTAAAATTGCCATCCAAAAGCTGCTTGTTTAAAAGACTTAATTATCACAAGATGTGGCAACAAAGGAGATTAATGGATTAGGGGTCGGACAAAGCGCCTTTCAGCTGATACAGGAACAATCCAAAGTCCTTCCCTAACTGATGTCTCCTAGAGCACCAACATGCTTTGAAGAGCTTTCACAAGGCTTGGTGACCTGCAAGCTTTCTGAGGGCCTTGGGGGAGGAAAGAGGAGACATGCCACCAAGAGGAATGCATTTTCTGCTCTTTGCACCAGCAACATTCCAAAGTTAAGGCATCAACAGGCATCACAAATCCAGCAGTAAAATTCCAAAGGCCAAACAAAACAAACTTTCCAAGACAACGATGCATTATCTTCCACAAGCCAACAAACTCAGCAGCAAGTCAACATTTCAGGCCAGGGCTAAAAAGTTACTTACTTCATTTTTTCAGCTAGGTTTTCTGTATTCTCACGGATTGTATGTGATAACTGGGACACCGGGTTCAACATCAGATTGTCAAAGATTACCTAAAATATAAGGGCAGAGCAGAGAACTTTTAACAGAGCCACATATTACAAAACTGGAAATTTTTACAGTTAATGATCTCTACTGAAACATCTTTATCTTTAGGGATGACATTTGAAGTTCAAGGGAGATTAAGATGACACGGAGCTTTGTTGCAGCACTTGGGCAAAAAGATTAATACTAACTCGTTCAATTTTTTTTTTTTTTCAGAAACTCTATAGTTGTCTACAGTAAGATAACTATTTAAGTGTTTCTGAAAGAAAAAGCTTAAGACTTTTCAAGCCTCACAGGCATCTTTCCTCTCTGCAAAAACCCAAAAAAGCCAAATCCCAACACAAGAAGTCCCACAAGCAATCTCACTGAAACCATCTAATGTGATTTATGAGTCCAAGCCACCTTCACAGCCATGTAACATCCCACCACATTACATTCTGCTTTATTAAAAACAAGAAAAAAACCCACCAAACTCCAAATAAATCAAGTCCTGTGGTTCAAATGGAGCCCCAGGCTTCTACCAGGAAAGCCTAGATCAGCTGGGGGGCACTGGACCTGCATCTTTTATTTGGCCTTGGCATGTCTTTACAGGGGAGAAGGATTGCTTCAGGCCAGTCACAGGGTAGGATGGGGACACTGGTGGCTCAGCCCAAGTTCCCCTCCATCACCTGTTTTGAGTCACAGTTCCCCTCCGGAGCAGCAGTGACTGTCCTGGAGCCCAGCTAGCCCTTCCTGTCTCCCCAGAGCCTCTGCCCCAGCTCTTCCTTCTCAACCAGAGCCAGCAGGAGCAACAGCCTGCTCCTCTGCTCCCTGTCACCATCAACCTGTTACAGCCTTCACTCCAACACTATTCCCAGCCTCAAGTTTCAGGCCAGGCTTCCTTTAGCATCATCCCAGTGACTTCTGGGTTACCCTGCTCTCTAGCTCCAGATGAACTGCATCAAATCCTGCATTGTCTGGAGAAGAGAAGGCTGAGGGGAGACCTTATCGCGGTCTATAACTACCTGAAGGGGCGGTGTAGAGAACCGGGGGTCAGTCTCATCTCCCAAGTCCCAGAAGATACCACAAGGGGAAATGGCCTCAAATTGCTCCAGGGGAGGTTTAGATTGGATATTAGGAAACATTTCTTCACCGAAAGGGTTATCAAGCATTGGAATAGGCTGCCCAGGGAAGTGGTTGAGGCACCATCCCTG